TAAATGCTCTATGGTATCAATTCCAGTATTTTTGAAGGACTCATAAAACTATATTAACTCTAATTATCATACATTTAAAAACTTTTATTATTTCTTATAGACTGAAGAATATGCTATCAATAAGGCATGGACTTATAATTGTGGGCTTTTTACTACCACAGTAGAAGTATAGGCCACACTATTTAGCTATAAAGCAGGAGGAGCACATGGGCTTTCTTCCTACTTCTACTCCTCACAGTGTGACACTTGGCAAGTTTTTCAACCTCTTTGGATCTTAAAGACTTAATTCACAAAATGTGAGGTTGAACTAAAACAGTGGTTTTAAAATATTGCAAATCTGTAGGAAAGTTAATTTAATTTAACATTAAATTTAATTTAACATTTCATTGAAAATGTTAAGTGGAAACAATACACAGCGTAAAATAAGTAAAAGGGTTTTCAGTCATATAACTCATTGTTTAAAACTAAAACGTATAAGATTTCTTTAAAATTCAATCAACAATCACAGAATTTATTAATATTAATAGGAACATTTGACATCTTAGATTAATATGATCATCTGAAACCCAAGATTATGGCTGACATTCAGTACTGACATTCTGTTTTGTTTTGTGTTCTGTATTAACTTTAGCAAACTCTGATATTCAGAGAAATCACAAAGGGTTTCTTACAAATTAAATTGTACTTTAAGAATTTACCTTGCAATCTCATAACACTCCTATTAAACAAAGGGGGCAGGAGAAGATTTATTCTTTGAAGGATTGTTTCTATTATGACTGCCATATGATAAAATATATCTCTTTAAATGTAGATTCAAATTGAGCATTTGCAAAATCCCTGAAGTAGATCTCATACAATAAAGTATATAGACCAATGAATAATTGGAGTGTCCCTTCTAGGTTCATGAATTTGAAGATTCACATATGCAGCTCTCCCAGTCCCACTGGAATTATTTATGAGATTTCTGGGTTGATGTGACTGCCTGTGGCCATTTATTTGGAGAAGTTAACTGGATCTCATTCTTTTTCTTTTCTTTTCTTTTTTGAAGTCACAGATGGAAGAGGAGAAAGGGAGGAAAATAACCAACACTTGATAGAAATAATCCCTCAACAAAAATATATTCTCCAGTAGACATTAAGGATTTGTCTAAACTCAGGAACCGCAGAAATCTGATGATAAAGGAGAGAAGAGAGTCTTTAGAGACAACAGGAGCTTTGAAAAGGTTCATCCTCAGGCTCCCCACAAACTCTTCACCCTGGAGGTGCTAACAAACATTACTAGATGGGTATGTGTCTCTCATGTACAGTACCCACTCCTTATTCATAGGGGATAAAAATCTCCGTTGGATACCTGAAATCTCAGACAGTATTGAGCCCTTTATATACTATATTTTTCCTATACATACATACCCATGGTAAAGTTTAATTTATGAATTAGGCATAGTAAAAGTTTAACAATAATAACTAATAATAAGAATAATTATAGCAATATACTACAATGAAAGCTATGTGAACATGATCTTTCTTTCAAGGCATTTCATTGTACTATAGCTCTTAGCAACCGTAGCATGCAACTTTTTTTTCCCTTAAATCAGGAATGTTTTACCTTTTCACATAAGCGAAACATTTTATGACTTCTCTTTGGCATATCCAAATTTCCAGCATCACTGCTCTTGCACTTTGGGGCAATTATTAAGTAAAACAAGTCCTTCTTGAACACAAGCGCTGTGATACCATAACAGTCAATCTGATCACCGAGGTGCTACTAATGAGTAGAGGGTAGTGCGTGCAGTGTGAACGTTTGGACAGTTGGACAATTCACATCCCGTGAAGGGCAGTGTGAGATTTCATCATGCTACTAAAAACAATGTGCAACTTAAATCTTATGAATTGTTTATTTCTTGAATTACCCATTTAATATTTTTAGACTGCAGTTGACTAGTGGTAACCGAAACCTTGGATAAAGGAGAAATAACTCCTTACTGCATAACCCTGAGGAATCCTCTGCTAAGGTACTAGAGTGGGGATCTCAGCCGGTGAGGCCTTTTCAAATTTTACAGTCACTTGCTAGCTATTTGGGGTTATGAACAAGGTAACCGTATGTGTTGTCATCCAAACTAGAGCACCGTGGGAGTGAAAGGTAGCACAATCAACAATTAGCCTGGGACAAAAGTTGTAAACTGCTCTTACTGAGCAAACTGGAATGAATGGTCATCCTAGTTAGGAACCTTCCCTTTCCCTAACAGAAGATACTTCTAAAACATGGGCACTTTACAAACATGTGCCATTAATCTAGTAAAATATCACGTTTTCAATGAATCTCTGCTATTTTAACCTTAATTTACCAACTTTGAAAACTAAGCTTTTAAGTTATTCTAAAATATAAAATGGTCAGTCAGCCTAAGAAACATCTGATGTGTTTAGAGAAAAACAAAATCACTTTCTCAGTTCAGGGTGTTGACAATATACAAAAGAATGGAAAATACATATAAGGACTGTAACTGTTTATAAAGTGTGAATTTGACATGATACAACTTATTCTTAACTACTTCACTATATAAAAATTAGGCATTATGTTCTTGGAAATATACTGTAGTTCTAGATAAATAATTTTGTGCTTTTATTTTTTTGTTCCATTTGCTCATTTTTGTTAATTTTTCTGTTTATATGATTCCATTTTCTATTTTTTGGTACACCAAGATCACATCTTTTATCTTTTCTTCCTTTGTTTAGTTCTATTCACAGCACCTTTTTAGCTCATTCTTCATATGGTGCATTCTCAACACTGTGTTAACTAAAACCTTTTAAAAACTCACTTTCAAATTTACAAACACTTACCTGATCGAAAGCATGTTTTTCACTCCCATAATCATCAGATCATTATCAAAAGTTCTGGCATTCCTCTTTGATACAATTGAGCATTTGGGGGCTGGGATAGCTTCCAAATCCACTAGTCATAAATTTCTGACTTCATATCTAGATATTCTTAACTGATCTACTTTTACAGTATGAGTCCCATAACTGCAGATTGTTAGTAATATGGAAAAATCCAAAACTTAAAAAAAAAACCCATTTTTATAATTCAACATATTCACAGAAGAAGGTTCATTATAAATGACACATGATCTAAATTAAACCTGTAGGATTTACAAAGATATATGTCTAACAATAATATTGAACAATCTGCAATTTATTTTAACATTCACCCACTCGAATTCAGGAGCTAAGTACGAATTCAGGAGCTAAGAATAACATTAGCTGGGGGAAAAAGATGAGCAGGTTTGGTCTACCTTTCTGTTTTCCCATGATTTTAAAGGAACACTCACCTCCTCCAAAAGGTCCCCATATGACTCGGCGGATGGACTTCACCCAGTCTTCCATATCATTCTGGGTGCTTGCCATGAGGAGGTAGCTCTCATGATTTGCTGTCATCCGATCTCGATCACCTCCTGTGAAAACACAGTAACATATGCAGCTGAAGTTGCATCCAGAGATTCCTCATCATCAGCCTCCAGAGGAACCCCTGACACAGACACTGTGCCTAATACAGCCCATACTAGGTTCTGCCCAAGGAATTAAAATATTTACCATGGTTTCTGAGTGGGAAGAAAAAAATTTAAAAAAGAGAGGCTCTCATATTTTCAGGAGTAAGCTGGAGAACAAATGTCATTTTCTAAACAAAGCCTGGGTTTTTTGTCCTAGCAACAACCCATAGGCCTGTATCAATTCGTGATCCAATCTATTCACTCGAAGCTGCTGAATACCGAGAAATAGCAAAAACAAAATGAAAGACAGAAAAGGTGGAAAAGTGGTCCACAGACCTTGGCCTTTCATTTCAAGCAAGCATGGAGCAGCCTGAGCACTGCATAGTGCACACACATGGAGGCCACCAGGACATTGTGATTGGATATCGGAGTTACAGGAAAGAGTAAAGAGTCACATGCAATGCCTTTAACCCACAGGTTCTGCTCTGTGCCTCTGTTCTGGAAGAGAAACCTCATCCTCCCAAATCACAGCTTCAGGAGGGCAAACAAAGAGGAGGCAGGGAAGAAGACATGCCTGGCCAACCACAAAGGCCAGATCAACACCCCTGCTGGCTCTCGCACCTGCAGGTGAGCTTTAGGAAACCCTGGCAGTGCCTCTGTGCAAAACCTTGATGGTTCCTTCAGTATTTTTTCCCAAAGAACAACTCATGCACTTTAAAACCTTTATAATCTCTAATATCAACTTTGAAGTGCTAGACTTCCAAAGCATGTAATTTAATTTCTTAGAAGTGTTTTATAGGGCATTTAAGATTCCCCAGTGATTTAATTTTCCCATTTACAAAACAGGGATAATGATATTTGACCTTGAAACAGGTCTTGAGGCACGGTTTCGTTATACCTTTTATGTTTAAAGGAGTATTTCTGAAGACAAGTATTGGAGCCTGCACTCCTTCACCGTCTTTGAACACAGTGTTGCTCACAGAAGGAATGATTAAAGAAATAGAATAGTATTTAACTGGATTCTGATAATACGTTAATATTATACCAACTTCTAAGATACTCAAATATCTATCAACATTTAATTTTCATGCAGTGTTGTATACTTGATGCCTTGGGTTGAATTAATTCTTATCTGAGTATTTTGTGTGGTTAGGGTGTTGTTCGTTTGTTTGTAAGTGGATCTAAATACTTTCATAAGGAGTTTGCAGGCTCCCATTTACAAAGGCACCACACTCTATTATTTCACACTCAATCTGGTTCATACATAGTTCTGAAAGTTACAGGCATTAGAGTTTGTGACCTCTAAATTCTAAATGAATGCTCTGGGTTGAGAAGAACAACTATTCTAGAATAATATAAATTTTTTTATTCAGGTGAAAAATCAGAGAAGTGCATCTTGAAGTCAACCAGTTGAACAACCCGTATTGGTGCATTACATTTTAATACAACTAAATGAGAACAGAGGAAGGGCTCAAAAACTGTATCAAATAGCTTTCCTAATGTTGACAAATCTTTTGAATGAACAAAACTAGCCTCCTCATATTACAGTGAACATTTCATTACTAGGGAAACAGTGATTCTTTTACACGTCTAGCTCCACTCTAGGTCGATCATCACTGTAAACCAGTGGTCCCCAACCTTTTTGGCACCCAGGACCCAGTTTTGTGGAAGACAATTTTTCCTCAAATGGGGTGGTGGTAGTGATAGTTTCATAATGAAACTGTTCCACCTTAGATCATCAGGTGTTAGATTCTCATAAGGAACAAGTAATCTAGATCCCTCTCAGGTGCTTCTATGAGAATCTACTGCTGCCACTGATTTGACAGGAAGGGGAGCTTAGGCAGTAATGCTCACTTGCCTTTTGCTTACCTCCTGCTGTGTGACCCAGGGGTTGGGGATCCCTGCTTTAAACAACTTGTATATGAAAAAGCATCGATTCAGGAGTCAAAGAAAACCCAGCTCGAATCACAGTTTTATCTTATATTAGCTATTTGACTTCCAGGGAATTATTTAACTTCTGGAAACTCAGTAATCCTTTTTTTTGTTTTGTTTTGTTTTTTAAAGAAACTTTAATTTTAAGTTCCGGGATATATGTGCAGATTTGTTACATAAACTTGTGTCATGGGAATTTGTTGTAATGATTATTTCATTGCCCAGTTATTAAGCCTAGTATCCATTATTTTTCCTGATTTTCTCCCTCCTTTCACTCTCCACCCTCCAATAGGCCTCAGTGTGTGTTGTTTCCCTCTATGTGCCCATGTGTTCTCATTATTTAGCTCCCACTTTAAGTGAGATCATGGAATATTTGGTTTTCTGTTCCTGCATTAGTTTGCTAAGGATAATGGCCTTCAGCTCCTTTCATGTCCCTGCAAACACATAATCTTGTTCTTTACTTTTTATGGCTACATAGTGTTCCATGGTGTACATGTAACATATTTTCTATATCCAATCTGTCATTTGATGGGCATTTGGGTTAATTCCATGTCTTTGCTATTGTGAATAATGTTGAAATGAACATATGTGTGCATGTATCTTTATCTCAGAATGATGTATATTCCTTTGGGTATATACTCAATAATGGAATTGCTCCATCAGAGAGTATTTCTGTCTTTAGATCTTTGAGGAATCAACACATTGTCTTCCACATGGTTGAACTAATTTATATTCCCACCAACAATTTATAAGTGTTCCTGTTGCTCCACAACCTTGCCAGCGTTGGTTATTATTTTCTTTCGACTTTTTAATAATAGCAATTCTGACTGGTGTGAGGTGGTACCTTATTGTGGTGTTGATTTGCATTTCTCTAATGATCAGTGATGTTGTGCTTTTTTTCATATGATTATTTGCCACATGTACGTCTTCTTTTGAAAAGTGTCTGTTCATGCCCTTTGTCCACTTTTTAATGGAGTTGTTTTTCTCTTGTGAATTTAAGTTCCTCATAGATGCAGGATATTAGAGCTTTATCAGATGGGTAGATTGCAAAAATTTTCTCTCCCAATCTGTAGGCTGTCTGTTCACTCTATTGGTAGTTTCTTTTGCTGTGCAGAAGTTCTCTGGTTTAATTAGATCCCATTTGTCAATATTTGCTTTTCTTGCAATTGCTTTCGGTATTTTCATCATGAAATCTTTGCCTGTGCCTATGTCGTGAATGGTATTGCCTAGTTTATCTTCCAGGGTTTTTATAGTTTTGAGATTTACATTTAAGTCTTTACTCCATCTTGAGTTGATTTTTGTGTATGGCATAAGGAAGGAGTCTGAAACTCAGTCATCTTAATCATGCTTTAGAAATAATTATACATACTTGGTCAACTTTTGTGAGAATTCAACAAAATGAAGTATACAAAAATACTAGCACTAAAGTAGAAATGTTGTAAATATTAAATTTATGTCATTTAATTGTCTCTCATGCTTACCTAAGCAAAAAGTACATATTACATTACATCGATCCCAGAGATATTACATCTAATAAGTGTTTGAGAACAATTAGTCAGTAGCAACAATGATATTCTAAAAGTGCTACCTTTCTTTGATACATATATGCATACCAATGTACATTAAAATTACATACTGCACATGTAAATATACCATGCCTTAATATGCATGTACATGGCTGTATGACATAGAAGTGGCAGAAGTAACTAAATGGCAAAATAAAAACATGCTTCATTTGGCATGGTGCAGTTCTAAAAATTAATTTTGTATTCTGATCCACTTATGCCACAGTATCGAGTGCAAAATATTATCATTTTGAAATCAGAATATTGTAATTACTGTCTTTGCCTGAAGGATGTTTAGCAATTCAGAGAGCAATAGCCTGCTGTGTCACTCCAGGCCTAGTAATTAGAGTGAGTGGCAGCCGCTACAGTGTGTTTCTGCCTGAAAGCAGAGGAAAAAGAATGGCACACACAACTGGCCATTATCCCTTGACTTTTCATTTGATGCTTTATCTCTGCCAACGGTGCTACATGTCTGACCTTAATCTCATTTAGACTGCCAATCACAGATACAAAATCCCATCTGTGAATTTCATCTCTGAATCTAGATCTTCATTTCTCATTTTAATAGCAAGGTGTGGGGTATGATTTAGAAAAACTTTTTACGTAATTCTTTGTGGAAATACAGACTCATTACTAAAGATGTGACTGAAACAATTATATGTATTTCTAAAGATATGAACTAAATACTCTGTACTAAAAATAGGTGACTTCTAACTGAAAGAGCCATCTGTTCTAATGCATAAACCCTCAGTTCTAAGAGCATGGGGCTGTGTCTTGCAATTGAAGGAGCTTAAAAATAACTTACCAAATATATGATTTGATAAATGAATACATTTAATCATGTGGATCAAGATTCACTCTCTTCCTTAGCCCTTTCAAAAGGTGAAATTCTTTCAAGAGGCGAAATTTTTATAAGCAATGTTGAGATATAATTATCACTGGAATAGTGAGAGTTTCCCAGTCTTCATACATAATATGTGTATGTATTATATCACATTGTATTAATGTTATATGAACCAGTATACATTCTACTTTCTTCATTTCTGCATGAACATAAATATCTATGCAGTTGTAATGTTTTAAATAATATTACTTTAAATGATACTAGATTGGCTCACATTTCAAAGAACATTTGTCAGAAAGCAGTACACAATTTTTAGATGTTACCTCTTTTTGGTAGCAATGCTTTAGTGCTACTGTTAACACATCAAGCATTTATGATTTTGTTAACTAAGTTGGCCACATCATTCAATTTTACTTGTTTATATCTAATTGAAAGTATTTGTACATTTTGTTGAGATAGTCTATATATTTTCATTTGACGTAAATTTTTCTTTCTTAAAAATAAAATAGATTCTCTTAAATAATTGCTTAACATGGTCAACTTTTACAAAAATTAAAAGTTGGATTTAAAAAAGCTTAATGGGCTGGGTGTGGTGGCTCATGCCTATAATCCCCGCACTTTGG